TCGTGATGGTCTTGGCAGATTGGATTCTGTGGGAAAGTGGGTTATCAAGATAAGGTATGTGGTAGTAAGTCAACGTGGGAGTGGCTGGAGACCTAGATGTGTGTGTATATGTATGTGTAGGCCACAGCATGTGTGCCCCTCCAATTCCCCTCGTGGGTGCATTAGAGTTCCTCGAGTGTGAGCGCTCTTATTCTGCTGCCTCTGATCTCAGAGCTGGTGTTTTTGTAGCTGCTATCCATTTACCATGCCTATAAGGGTGAACTGATATATGTTCCAGACTACACTGGTCTCCTGTTGGTGCTGTATGACTCGGTGCCAAGCTTTGTATTAGTGTTTAACCCAGTTTTAGGCTCACATCAATGTTGTTGCGGAAGAGTGTCTTTTAACAAAGTGAATAAGGCACCACCAGCCTGCATTCTGACTGTTAAAAACATCTGAGTCACTGCCACTGCATACTTTGGTCGTCATTTGTGACCATTATGTTTCAGAGTCCTTTCAAACACACCTTATGTCCTCAACAAATGATGCCATTTTGATCTGATTTGCTCTCATTGTCATTTGACAGGAAGACTTAATGGAGACAGAACTTGATATAGAGGAAGTTCTCCAACCACAGCCCAGGGAACTGTCTGGGGAGAGTCTGCTCACCACGGAGTACCTGGGTGTAAGAGCAAAACACATACACAAACTCACTACACCCCCCACTATTCACAAGTTACATAATCATGTTGTTGTTTGCTAAGCAGACACATAGAATGCTCACGGTAAGGTTGCTCATTTCTTCTTCTGGCAGTCTGCGGACAAGCCAGCTGCTCATGAGCAATCATTGAGGCTTTGTGCTTCTGTGTGCCAAACATTTCCAGCTAGAGAAAACAATACCTACGATAAGAGGAACCCATAATGTTTGTATTGTTGTGTGTGTAAGCAAATCAGAAATTAGATGCTAACCCCATATGAATTGCAAGATTTCATGTCATTGTGAAACTAAATGGTAGATGGCTAGAGGATGGACACAAGAAGGTCCTCACCTTTAAGGAAGCTGTTCCAATACTTTGTTTCAAATGGTAATATCTACAAACACAGACTGCAATTCACCTAAGTTGGAAGAGCTTTAAGACTGATGTCATCATCAAGCTGCATTTACACTGATTTAGTTACTGACCGCTCCTGGAACATCTGTTAGACCAGTTCCAGGGCACACACTTGCCCATGCACCACACTCGTATGCAGAAGTGTTTTACAGTGTACGGTTCTAGGGAAAATGCCTGTGTTTGAGAAGTACTGAGCATACGACTGGATAAATGAGACTTGGATTATACTGGACAAGTTGTTTGAGAGTTTGCAAGCCAATATTTTGATATACTTCTACTTCAGTTCATCAAGAACGTTCACCATTTTTGGATTTGTCACTCATAAAGATATGCGAGAAAATCAAAGTTTTCCTCACGTTTAAAGTAACATGGGGTGAGTAATTGATTTAAAAGTGGTTGTTTTGTCAGTGAAAAATTCCTTTAGATGTAAATCAGAAAAGGTATAAACAGACCTTGTTATACACCAACACCAATGTCTCTCAGTATCTCTGTGTCACACCAGTTACTCTGTTTTTTCTAGTTACTGTAGTTCAATCTAGAGAGACTTGTTCTGCAAGAAAATATTATTTGTTTCCATGTGCACGTAAGTATGAGAAATGTGAAACGTCTGTGGCGATTAGACCCCATCATGATGTCATATATTCCAAGAGGGTGGTAAAGATGAGTAGATTAGGGATCCCCTCCTGAGGAGTCTAGATGCTGGTGGTGGTCATGGTGTTGATGAGATGAGATGAAGAGGGAGCTGAGGATCTGGATGTGAAGAGGAGAGGGCTTTTGATGGCCTGGAGGTGAATGGGGTGGAGGAGGGCGTGATGATTCTGCCTAAAATGACAGCTAACAGGAGCCCAGAGGAGAACAGATTTAACGTTTGGCAGCGGCAACATGAGTGGCTGAAGGAGACTGTGGCAAAGTTGGATTGGCTAACGAGGAGATGGAAGGCCCATAATCAACTTATTGGAGAAAGTGATGGGAGTGGGATAGAGAGAGAATGTGAATGAATGTAGCATAAAGAAAGTCTTCCCGACTTACACTGAGCTTCATTCACTCATCACATGCAAATCCAAGTTTGACAATGATCTTGTGATTGGATGTGTACATGGGGCAATGGACACAGGAAAAGCTCTCTACACTGGCAGACAGTATTTACTTTGGTTCTGGATGACTCTGTTGTTTAGAGATGGCAAATTCCCAAATAAACACAGATATATAAAATGTATATAAATTGTGGTGCGTGTGTATGTGTGTGTTTGTGTAGATTATGACCAACATGGCAAAAGTGAAAAGGAAGTCAACCCCTCTGCCTCAACCAAATGTTGATGAACCCCTACAACGGCCAGTCACCCCGAGTTCTCATCGTAATGTCACCGCTGTGTAAGTTAAATACACACACAGTCAGTATCAGACAGTCCAAACAGCAGTTCACACTTACGCTGGCATGCTCATTGTGTCTGTGAGTATCGGAGTGACAGTCTTTTCCATATGATGTGTAAAATACCACACAATACTACATGTAGATAAAGTCACAAGATAAAGTTTGCCCTCTTTTCTCTTAAACAAGATCAGTTTACAAATCTGGCAGTCTGACCTGTAGGTCATTTTAACAATGCTTGTGCTGCCCTCTTTGTTCAACCACGTGGATTATGAAGCACCTGCATCTGGTAAAACTAGTGCAGTAGGTCAAAGCAAGAATGGATTTGAACGCATTTTGCCATTAATCATAGCAAAGCCCGACTGAATTGTTCATGTACTGTACAGGAGTGAGTCAGCAGGAGGAGACTGGAACAGGAGCTGCTTTGCACTGAAAGGCAGATCATTGTCTGTAAAAACTGTACGCCAGACAGTAGTGTTGTTTTAGAGTAATAGATATGAAAGCTATGAGGGATCAGTGTGCTACACATGACCTGGCCCCAGAGATAAGGGAGCATCATCTCACAGCAAGTAATTGATACCGTGGATTTATACCTTACTAACAAGAACCAATGTTAATGCTGATCTTTATTTACATAGCAGGCTTTAATATAAAGTTAGTGTTGTACAACTATGAAAAAGTGGCACTGATGAGGGTCAGTAGAACCAATAGGATGAAGATTTTAAGACATATGTATGTAAAAAAAAAAATAAAAAAACAGAACCATCCTGATTCATTTCTTGCCAAACCTGAGCTGTTTGTTTGTGTCACATGCAGGGATTATCGATCCGGCAGTCAGGGGGGTGAGGGCAGCAGGGACGGGGAATACCCTCTGAGCAGACAGAAGAGCGAGGAAGGAAGCCTGCCTCCTTCTCGATACAACTCCCGACCTCCCACACGCTCTGGCAGTCGCCCCAGCACTGCCGACTCCCTACGTCACAGTATCGGTGGGTGGATGCCATTTACCGTTTAGAATTTTGAAACAGTTACATGATACTTGCTGTGGCTGTTAATCCAACGTTTGCAGTTAGATTACTTACACTTGATGCCCATTTTGTGCGCTGAAAAGCATATTTGTGGGACAATTTAATTTCCCTTCCACCTGCTGCTCTTTATTCGGTTTACGTGGATTTATTTGAAGTGTTGCCCAGTGTCCACCAGGCAAGGAAGCTCCTGCAACTTCCTCCGAAATCATAATGGATAAAGACTCAGCAAAATGGGCACCAAATGGCTTATGACCTACTTTGACTTTCCATGAAACTAACGTCAGCGTGGCATCAGGTTGTGCCCATGTGTTCCCACAGTGACCATGAATATATAACAGCACTGTTACATTACAGCCAGATAGTTTGGTGTAATTCCAAAAGTAGTGTGATGAAGCTGTAATATTTACCCCCCTCTCTGTCACACACACAAACACACACACTCAGACTCAGAGTGCGGCCGGTTGTCCCAGGAGTCAGAGTTGGACGGGCCATATGAAGGACGAGCCAGAAAAGGACGTCCCCAGGAGGAACACAATGGACACCCTGCCAGGTAAAGTGACTCACAAATGTTAACTCCTCACACACACACACACACACACACACACATATAATGAGACTGCAGTTTAATGGCTGAAACAATGAATAATGTTCATGTCTACATTTCAATTTTATTGCCATGTGCATCAGAAGCCGTGCACTCAGATCAATTAAAACTTTGTGCCCTGGCTATCTAATGACACATAACATGAGATATAAAACACACTTATGGAAGCACTCCAGCCGCAGCAATGATTCAACAGGCACTGCAAATGGATTGAGGATACTTTGGCAAGAGGGACATCATCACTTCTGAGAAGGAGAGTCCTATCATGACCGCAGGCTGGTTCAGTGGCTGAAAGAAGGTGGATGATAAGTTATGGTACAGCGGCCATATATATACGGCCTCCTCCTGAAAGGGGCCTGTTGTAACTGCAAATTTTCGGGTCAGTGCTCAACAGAGGGGAGTGGGGAAGTTTATAGATGGCTAAAGAGTGAGGCCTGTGTGAAATCAATCCAAGCTGGTCCCATGCAGCACCATATTTTTGTTCTCGGTTACAGACTGGATGTCATTCTTTCACTCATAAAAATAACAGAAGAGATGGCTAAAAAATAAAGAGTGCAACATAAGAAAGAGAATGATGAGTGTGTTATGTGCAAGTTAGACACATGTAAAAAAAAAAAAAAAAAAAAAATACAAGTGTCTAACTTGAAAAGAAGTACAAGATTGTATGTGAATTTAGTCACTAGTTTTGTAGCAGCCGCCTTAAAGAGAGCCAGAGTTAGACTGTTGGGGAATTATGCAAAGACGAATAAACAGTGTAAGTCAGCTGAGGTGCCTGCGAAAGCCTGCAATGTGTGTCAGCATATTTGTGTGTCTGTGGAGAGGGTTGGCAAGACTGTTGTTCTACACCGATCAGTGACTCAGCACTGCCAAGCTGGTCTGTGAGACTGTGACATGCGTTTAAACGAGCAGTTCCCACAAAGAGGCCCATTCAATCAAACCTCCCCTGCTTCTCCTCTGCTTTAAATCTCAGAGGAACTTGACTCCTGAATCCCGCCAGCAGTAATGAGTCCCAGGAAACCGCTTCAGTTATCCCCCCCCCCCCGCATCAAAAAACGTAAAACACTTCTACAATACCGACTTCAGTAACCTTATTTCACCCCAGTTTGGAGGCAAGACTTTTATACTGAGAAGAGAATTCAGGACACGGCATTGATATTTCGGTGAAAAGAATCTTAGCAACACAGCAGTTTGGCAAATACCAAAAGAGAAGAAGCATATTTGTGCCTTTGCGTTAAGATGAATGAATTCCTCCTTTTTCCTACTTGGTTATTTGACATCAAAGCTAAATACTGACACCCTGGTACTGACTTCATGGGTATTTACGCAACTTTGTGGTCATCTCTGCAACATGCAAATTTCAGGTCCCTGCTGCACAGGGCTGAGCACGCAAGTTTGCCGAACCTCTTAGAGGCTTATACCAGATGATATCAGGGATGCTGGAGCCACTGTGACGACTCTGAGCAGAAACAAGAATGAGTGGACTGAAATCCATCCATCTATTATGGTATGGGATTGCTCCACAGGATGTAGGTCATTTGGCTCCTGCCTGATAAGGACATTAGCAGAGTTTGAGCCTTCGTTGTGTGAATGGAGGCAGAAGAGTCATTTATTTATTGTGATCCTGTTTCTCAGACTCACACGGACATGAGTACATATTGCCTTCTTTGTGGTTTCAGTAACACAATGGGGTCTTATTCCAGTGCTCACCATTTAATCAGCAGATGCAAAGTAGCTGCCAAATATTGTGTACTCTGCATAAAAGGATGTAATGATGTGTGTGTAAATACATCCCAGTGTCACAATAGAGCATGTGTTGGATGATCAGAAAGTATAAACATGCAGGGAATTTGCATGTTTTGTTTTGCATGTCAGTATGTCAGTAAAGGAGATTATTGCAGCAGCCAGTCAGGCAAAACCTAAGCTCTGGCTTTATCTAAATTTCAAAGTTTGAATGAAAGAAACTGAAGCCATCCATCCATCCATCCATCCATCCATTTTCATCCGCTTATCCGGGGCGGAGTGGTGGGGGCAGCAGGCCAAGCAAAGCACCCCAGACTTCCCTCTCTCCAGCAATGCTTTCCAGCTCCTCCTGGGGGACCCCAAGGCGTTCCCAGGCCAGATGAGATATGTAATCCTTCCAGTGTGTCCTGGGTCTGCCCCGGGGCCTCCTACCAGTGGGACGTACCCAAAACACCTTGAGCGGGAGGCACCCAGGAGGCATCCTGATCAGATGCCCGAACAACCTCAGCTGACCCCTTTTGACACGAAGGAGCAGCGGCTCTACTCCAAGCTCCCTCTGGATGTCCGAGCTCCTCACCCTATCTCTAAGGCTGAGCCCAGCCACCCCACAGAGGAAACTCATTTCGGCCACTTGTATCAGTGATCTCATTCTTTCGGTCACTACCCAGAGCCCATGACCATAGGTGAGGGTTGGGACATCGATGGACCAGTAAATCGAAAGCTTTGCTTTCCAGCTCAGCTCCCCCTTCACCACAATGGTCTGGCGCAGTGCCCACATCACTGCAGACGCCACACCAAACCAGACCAAAAAGATCCATCTCACGCTCCATTCTACCCTCACTAGTTAACAAGATTCCCAGATATTTGAACTGCCTCGCTTTAGGCTGCAACTCTCGCCTAACCCAGAGGGGGCAATCCACCAGTTTCTGTCAGAGAACCGTGGCCTCAAATTTGGAGGTGCTGATTCATCCCAACCACTTAACACTCAGCTACAAGCCACCCCAGTGCATGCTGGAGGTCACGGTGTGATGAAGCCAACAGAACCACATCATCTGCAAAAAGCAGAGATGCAATTCTGAGGTCCCCAAACCAGACTACTTCCTCCCCCTGGCTGCACCTCAAGATCCCGTCCATGAATATCACAAACAGGATTGGTGACAAGGGACAACCCTGGTGGGTGCCAACACCCACCAAGGCTAGAAACTGAAGCTTGGTGGCAAAAGCTGTCATGGAAACAGAATATTCACCACGATAAATACCAAAGTAAATTGCTGAGGAAGAAATACTGGAATCTGGAAACATGCCTGTTTAGATCACTCACCCTTGAACACCTTTCTTATAATACTGAATGTGTTTATAGTATAAAAACCTGCCATTTCTAAGTTAAAAAATTAATAGAAGTCACAAAAAACATAATATAGAGTTGCAGTACATACATATATGTATGAAGTCGTGCGGTATGAATGACCCTACTGATAGCTATCCCCATTGGGTATCTCGGAAGTATTGATAAAAGAGTCTGGCGTGCCATCACTAGATATGGAAGCTATCGACTGAAACAAGTGGAGTAATGCTATCAAGTGTCGAGGGCAGGAGGATTGTGCAAGGTTGATGTTGTACTCAAGAAAGCTATAATTTCTGTGCCATGAAACCTTTCGTGAAATGAGATCTGTTCATGGCTGTAGTGTCTCACGGCTGCTGAGCAGCTCATCAGATAAAAGGATTAACTCTTTGAATGGTTCCTCTAATTGTAAGCAAGCGTACCCAGTTTAACTTTTAACTTGTCTTTTTTTCGTAAGCCAGTGTTGTTTAACTGTTTTCACAGCACTTTTTTTGTATCATGATCTGTATTATGAATAGTGATTTGTGACCCCAACGAAGCAAAACTCATTTATTTCTTCTTCTTCCTCCTCTTATTTTTTCCTTGTTATCAGTGGTGAATATATCCCTGCATTTGCAAGCCAGCCTAAGATTCCCCGTACACCTGACACAGCAGCCAGCCAGAACAGCAGTGCTCACCGGGCTCGAGGTCCGGCTCTGGCACCCCAGTTTTCCCAGTCGGAGCCGCAGCAGAGCAGCAGGCCAGGCTCTGCCAGCTCCACAGGAGGAGGGGGACGACAAAGTGGAAGTAAGCATATGTCCGCCAGCCAGTGTTGGCAAATTTTGGCTCTGGGGGGTTGCTTTGTCTACACTGCAGGCCACTTTAGAAGATAACCAACTCTATTCAATAGAGTTCATCATATCACTCAATCATAGCCATCACCTCAAACTCTGTCTGTCTGTGCCACCTATTTGACATCCAAGGAATATGGTAATTTTCCTGCTCCTTACAAACAGGTTTTACCAGAACTGTCCACTTGAGTTGTTCTGAAAACAAAAGGGGACTTACAATAACATGCAACAAGACAAAAGTGGGATTTTCTGTAAAATGACAAATCAGTCTCCAGTTTCCCTCGAGCTCACATCTTGAGTTACACATCAGGATTTCAGCAGTATCAACTGGAATTCTGTAACAAAATCCACCATTACTTTGTTTCAAAGCTTGCATAACTCTGTTTATGCAGTTGCCAGTATTTTGCCAGTAGTGACACTCAGTTATCAGTTCACAAGAAGTAGTTTAGACACTTAGATGTTGGACCTTGACTTTTGGAGTAGAGTCAGGGTAGTATGATTGTATTACCTTTCCTTTCCTTCTGTTTTTTCACTAATAACAAAAGAGTCACAGAGATGGACATGGGACGTACAGTAAGTCTGATCGGATTCCCTTCAGATGGAGAGGACAGTTTTGTGTAGGGCAAGCAGGTGTCAAGGCCACCGGACTGAGTTGGTGGTAAATATACTCTCACTGGCCACTTTTGTAGGTTGGACCCCTTTTGCCTTCAGAACTGCCTTAATTCTTCATGGCACAGATTCAACAAGGTGCTGGAAACATTCCTCTGAGATTTTGGTCCATATCAACATGACAGCATCACACAGTTACTGCAGACTTGTCAGCTGCACATCCATGATGTGAATCTCCTGCTCCACCACATCCCAAAGGTGCTCTATTGGATTGTGATCTGGTGACTGTGGAGGCCATTGGAGTACAGTGAACTCATTGTCATGTTCAAGAAACCAGTTTGAGACGATCTGAGCTTTGTGACATGGTGCATTATCCTGCTGGAAGTAGCCATCAGAAGATGGGTACACTGTGGTCATAAAGGGATGGACACGGTCAGCAACAATACTCAGGTAGGCTGTGGTGTTTAAACCATGCTCAGTTGGTACTAAGGGGCCCAAAGTGTGCCAAGAAAATATCCCCCACACCATTACACCACCACCACCAGCAGCTTGAACTGTTGATACAAGGCAGGATGGATCCATGCTTTCATGTTGTTTACATCAAATTCTGACCCTACCATCTGAATGTGGCAGCAGAAATCCAGACACATCAGACCAGGCAACGTTTTTCCAATCTTCTATTGTCCATTTTTGGTGAGCCTGTGTGAACTGTGGCCTCAGTTTCCTGTTGTTAGCTGACAGGAGTGGCACCTGGTGTGGTCTTCTGCTGCTGTAGCCCATCTGCTTCAAGGTTCAACGTGTTGTTGGTTCAGAGATGGTCTTCTGTAGACCTTGGTTGTAACGAGTGGTTATCTGAGTTACTGTTGCCTTTCTGTCATCTTGAACCAGTCTGGCCATTCTCCTCTGACCTCTGGCATCAACAAGGCATTGGATATTTTCTCTTTCTGGGACCATCCTCTGTAAACCCTAAAGATGGTTGTGTGTGAAAATCCCAGTAGATCAGCAATTTCCAAAATACTCAGACCAGGGGTCTTGTTAACCGGATATTCTCGGTCATTGACCGTTTTTTTACAACAATGACCGGAAAATCTGAAGGCCGTCGGTCATTTTGACTGGTTGCAATTACCACCCCTGCCCACTTGGCGGCGGAGTGCACAGTCAGTGGTTTAAGTGGCTGCCGTTTTCTCCTGCGCATTTCTCCTGCGCTCGACTCTGTTCCTGTCAGTACTCGTTTTTTCACTTCAACAGGTCATGTAAACATGGGTAAGGCCATATTTTAATTGTTTTTTATAACGTAATAAGTTAATGACAATTTGTCATTGAATGTCCATGTATTGAGCGTGTTGGATAAACACTGAATGAATAGGGCATATTGTTCTGACCATTTTATTTATGTAGTTATGTCTGTAAGCTCGGTGACACAAAATTAAAATTGCAATGAAGTGATTAAGGTATTGAAAATGTGTTAGGTTATGCACTGTTGTGTTATTTTAAATTATAAACACAGTATTTTCTCTTCACATTCCTTGTGCTGTTGTTATTTTATTTTGAAAATTGGCCGGATTCTCTCGTCTTTTCTGTGTCCGACTTCCTGTTTGGTACGATCTGCTCTATCCACCTTGACAGAAGCGCTCGCGGCACGGGTGTGTCTGTTCTTTTCGTTCATGTCCTTATTAATGCACACTTTATAACTTGCTTGTTGGATTTATTTAAAATGAACGAATGAAAACTAAATGTCTTTGAATATCTTTATTATCATTTAAAAACGAAAATTAAAATGACCAGTAAAAATAGATTATGATCATATTTTTACGACCCTGTCGTAAAAATACTTTCTTTACGACCCTGTTGTAAAAATACGGTCATAATTTTTCATCAAAATGACCGGCGACGAAAAAGTCTAGCGCAACCTCTGACTCAGACCAGCCCGTCTGACACCAACAACCACGCCACTTTCAAAGTCACACCTTTCTTTCACATTCTGATGCTCAGTTTGAATTTCAGCAGTTGGCCGTTGAGTGTACATGTATATGGCTGTTAGAACAAATAAAAGTAGAACATTATTTTTTCCAGCCCATTCCTACCATAGCCACATGTATTTGCTGTAAACGTCACATCTCAAACACAGAACTTGAGTCACTGCAGGGAAGATGGCCTGATCAGCTGCTCTGGTGCTCTTAGTTGGGTGATAACATCTCTCCATGCTCTCATGCGTCTTAACTGCATTTGATGAGCAAGCACCTCCGGCTCTTACACCGGGTGCCCTTACCATAAAGCCTGTAATAGGGCCTAATGGTTTGTCCAAGCCACCACATCCTCCTGTGTGTGTGTGTTGTAATTTTGAGGTCTGGCAAGTGTCAGACATCTATCGACTCAAGGAAGTCACTTAATCGCAGCTCCGCTTTAAGGGCAATAAGCAGGCGCACATGACAAACAAAATTAGTACTCTTTTACTGTGAGCATCTTTAGCTTTAGCTGTTCCCTGCTATTTTTTTCCCTTAAGCCTCTATCTTTTCAATTTATTTTCACTTGGATCCAGCTTCTGTTGACTGTCAGGCTTTATTATGCCTAATGTTTGCTGCTTGGTGGAGTCTGGCTGCAGAGACACACGCTGAGACAGGATCCACTTTAGGCCCGCTTTTGGTAAACACATCTGTTGTGACTGACAGAGACGCTTTTCTGGCTAAGGAAAGATAGAGGAGGAATTTTGTAGCTGACCACCCACTCAGCCTGCGCAAACAAGAAAGGGAGCTGCTGCTGCCTCGCCATGTTGAGAGGATGGAAAAAGCTGTATTATCCTACCAAAGTCTTGTCAACAGGGTTGGCGTCACGGGATGACAGATCCCCGTTATGTTGCCATGCTGCTAGAGAAGGTGTGGGAAGTGAAGCGGTATCTTTTAGGACTTTCACTCTCGCCCTGAATGGGAGATGTGATGAGGAAATCTGATTTTCTCATCACATAAACAGGTAGGACAGAAACTAACAAACAAAAGCGCTACTTTTAAAGAAACAGGTACTTGGGTCATCTAAAATGTGTGTAACTTACATAGTGATGGAAACTGAAAGCTGGTTCCAGTCAGAAGCAGTACCAAGCTGTCCAGTTCAACGGAAGCATATGCTTTCAAGCTTATCAGTTAATTTTATTAATGCTGGCATGTTTTTCTGACAGTAATGCAGTGCAAAACAATGACGTCAAACTCATGCATCCATCCTGCATCCTTGCTTGCAAAAAGGATTCATGGCAGAGAGGAAGAAATGGTCTAAAGCATGGCTTCATTTCACAAAGAAAGATGTCAACAGTGCTGCTGTAATGTCTGTAAAATGATCATTTCAAGTAGGGCTGCCCCCAACTAAGAATTTTCCTTGTCGACTAATACTCGTCATTCAGGGCCATTAGTCGACTTGTCGCCCGCATGTTTACGATATTAAGTCAGTTATTAAATTATATATTTTGGGCGGGGCAACACAATGGTTTGAGTTCAAGGTGTGTGAGTATATTATTATATTTTATCTACAAGTGCACGTCACACACTGAGCGAGCCGCCTGTTAATGACGCTGTCGGCAAAGCAGTAATGATTGTGCTAAGTGGCTAATGGGCATGTAGCTACTTACATGTTTCAGATGATGCGTCAATGATCCCACACTTTGGATTTCCTGCCCGACATGTTATTAACTAGCCTGTGGAATAACTACAGGTACCAGCCCTGGAAATTAACNCTGTTAATGACGCTGTGGGCTAATGGGCATGTAGCTACTTCCATGTTTCAGATGATACGTCATGTTTGTAGTCGACCAATGAAGATGAGTTTACATATCACCTTGGGTTCGTCCTTCACCTTCTCAAAATGATCCCACACTTTGGATTTCCTGCCCGACATGTTATTAACTAGCCTGTGGAATAACTACAGGTACCAGCCCTGGAAATTAACCTGACTCCTGTCTGACTGCTGAGCATGGACACTTCCTGTGTCTGTCCTTTCAAATTAAATTCCCACATGGTCCAGTCATGTAGTTGTTGATTTATTTTGACAAGGCACAGCTCCTTATAGAGTTTACTTTGTTTTCTTTTGTCTGCAACTAAGCGACCAATGAAATCTTGCTAAATTGACTAATGTTTGGTCGACCATTTGGGGGCAGCCCTAATTTCAATATGCAGAAACATCTCTCTACAGAACATGGGCTTAAGTTTCAGGAATGCCATGTATTTGACACTTAGGTCTTTTTTTTTTCTTTTTCTTTTTTTTAAATTATCTTTTTATTATGTTTAAAGTTAACATATACAGAGTGTTATACTTTGTACACTTTTTAACAATTGAAACAGTACAAATTGGACAAACAGAAAAAGAAAGTAAGAGAATTAAAAATAGAGATAAAGTAAATAAATAAATAAAAGGGGGGCATGTAGCATACAAAATACATGGGGGTTACATTACAAATGATGTTCCATTATAACCTGAAGTCTGATCTATGTGGGCTAATGAAATCAATCCATCCTTTCCAGCATTTTTTGAATTGGTCCATTTTGAGTCTTAGAGCGAATGTTAGTTTTTCCATGATGTAAATTTGATGCATCACATTGAACCAGTCTACTAGTGTGGGTGCTCTTTGATTTAGCCATTTTTTTGTGGTCGCTTTTTTACTGGTGACCAGCATTATGTTGAACATATATAAATTTGAGAAACCTAAAAGTTGGTGTGGCTTTTTACCCAAATACATAACTTGAAAACAAAAATCAATGTCACATCTTAATACACACATTTCAATCCAATATTGATGAATCACAGTGCATTCCCAAAACACATGAAAGTGATTTGCTCTGTCTCTCCCACAGCCTCTCCAGCATGTCGTCTGCCTCCCCCCAGGGTGCTTGAGTGCAGGTGTTAAAAAATATCTGACCCTGTTTTTCCAATTGAACTCTCTCCATGACAAAGAGTTAGTTGATTTCCATTGCATGTCATTTAAATTTTCCCACTCCTCTAGTGATAGTACAAAGTTTCCTTCGTTTTCCCATCTTTCTTATATGTAAGATGTATTGGTCCCACCTAATTCCTGAAGGCCTTTATATAATTTGGAAACAGTCCCTGCACCTAGGTCTGCTCTGTATGTAGATTTTCCCAGATCATCTTTGTTAATTATTCTTTCTGTATGGTGTCTTAACTGCAAATATCTAAAGAGGTCCTGGTTGATTATTCCATATTGATCCTTCAAGTTTTGAAAACTTTTAAGAGAGGTTTTTTCAAAGAGGTCCAAATAAATATTGATCCCTTGCTGCTGCCACAACTTAAAGGTTGCGACACTTATGTCTTTAAAACATATCTTTAATCAAACAATTTTTTTTATTGATGAGTTTAAATCTGACCGTCCTCTGCCTTCTCTTCTTCTCACACCCCACACCCCTCCCTCCTCTCTCTCCTTTAGGCAGCCAGTCAAAGAGGAGGTGAAGAGGGAGCTGTCACCATGGAGTAGCGCTATCTCCCCGGGAGCATCGCGCTTCCTGTAACATCATCCCCCCCAGAGTGTGATCAGGGTCAGGGCAACAGAGATGGTCAAGGATCAGCAGCAGCAGGAGGAGGTGCTCGGAACAATGCGGAGGATTGTGGCACTGCATTTTTTTTTCTCTCTCCCTTCAGGTTCAGCACAGACTTCTGTAACATAATATGGATGATAATCACAACCCCCAGCTGTCCGAACCTTGTGCACCTTGTAGCCTTAGTTGGCCCTGAATTTCTCCACTCTCTCATCAAGGTGATAGTTGGCACACCTCAATACGTGCAACATCCTCCAGCCATGACAAAATTCCCGTGAAACAAGATGTGGGTATTCTAACTTGGAAGTACAACTACAAGTCGGGGCAGGTCAAGAGAAAATAGTTGATCATCTTTCTAGTTTACTGGCACAGGTACATTACTCTTCACATCAGCAGGGAATTGCTTGAGTCTAAACACCAGCTGAGGTGCTCAGACTGAAGCACAGCATGGTTTTACCTGGTTTTAACTACATGTAAATCTTTCGTGTAATTCAGTAAATATGAGGCACTGCCACAACTTTTGTCGTCTTTAAATTGTACAGATATTTATAAAAAGAGTAGTTCTCATCTCTATTCCACCGATGCATAACCTTCTGACTTTCACTACATACTGTATATATTGATTTTTGACTGTGGTGGAAAATATCCGTCCATATGAATAAATAATCGTACCGGCTTTACTTCAAATATATGACATGATCTCTTATCAGAGTAGCTGCTCTTGTTGTGCTCTAGGAAATGTTTACAATAAGACACAGGTCCCGACACAAGTTGTCAGGCTGGTGCATGTTTTATTAAATAAATACTGAGAACTGCTTGTTGCCGTTAACATTCACTACTATCCATAAAACATCTGACAGAAAATAAAAACTTGAATTGGTGTGAATGTTTTAAATCCAGCATTGTTTGAATTGTACATTTGCACTGTTTTCCAGGTGGTGATGTACAGCATATTTATGGTAACTGCGACATTTTCACTGGCATGCATTTTGATAGTAATTGATTTTTGTACTTTTTAAGTGGTTGTAAATAAATGTGTGACATGTCACCTGTTCTCTGGTTTCAGATATCTGTATTCCTTCCCTGTTACTGCTATATTGGATTCCTCAATTTGATGGCTCTTGTTGAATGCAGTGGTGCAATGTAACTAAGTACATTTACTCAAGTACTGTACTAAGTACATATTTGAGGTACTTGTTCTTTACTTCTCCACTAGATTTCAAAGAAAAATGTACTTTACTCCACTACGTTTATCCAACAGCTTTACTTACTTTACAAATTAAGTTACAAGCCATACAAAAGAGCTTAAAAATATGATTTGTAATAAAGTAAACTACCCAACAGTATATACAAGTACAGCTAAAATGATTAGTTGATTAATCAATAAGTCGACTGACAGGAAGTGAATGACCCTGAAGTCTTTTTATTTATATGTAGAAAATATTTTATGATTCTAGCTTCATGTGTGTAAGGATTTGCTGATTTTCCTTTTGTTTTTAATAATTTTCATTAATTTATTATTTTTCTGCGGGGTGTTACTATTGGTTGGACAAATCTACAATTGTGGAGATGTTACTTTGGGGTCTGGGTAATTTTTTTTGTAACTTTTTTTATTCAAGAAACAGAACATGAGGTCGTCATGGTGGTTACAGGGTCAAATCATGGCACATTTTTCACTTACCTCCTGGCATACAGTGTCACACTTTTCTCAACGGCATAAATAGATGTAAGTCTTTCCATACAGTATATTTAATTTATTATCCCTAGCCACTGGGCCAATGTTGGAGGATCAACTTGCAACCATTCGCGAGTTATGGCTTTCCTGCTACTTGTCCAAAGTATCTTCAATAAATATTTATCTTTAAGTGAGACAGTTTCAGGTATTTTTCCTAAGTAAAATATAACAAATGAGTGGGCTAAATCCATCGTAATTATCTTATGAATCTTAGCTGCAATCTCTTGCCAGTACAGCTTTATTTTTGGGCATGTCCAGAAAATATGATAATGATTGGTCAGTGAGGTTACGCAATGCCTCCAATAAAAGCCCTGGCTCTGTAGGGCTGTTCGCAGTGCTGTTAGTTTAGAGGTGATAAAGAATCAGACAAGGTTTTGCCAACCAAACTCCCTCAGGGACCTTGAGTTTGCAGTAGTTGCCTATGTCTCACATATCTCTGTCCAGTCTTCCTGTTATGTGTATGTCCGATTCTTTCTCCCATTTTGTTTGATTTAACTCTTTGAAATTTGAATACTTCCGGACAATCTCAAAACTAACTGTAGTATCTGGGGTCTGGGTAACTTACAGCATATCTCACTGTTTTAATTTAAAATACTTTTCATACTTAAAGTACATTTTCCTGAGTACATTGCTTTTATTTAAGTCATATTTTCAATGCAGGAGTTTTCCTTGTAATAAAGTACTTCTGCAGTGTGGTATTAGTACTTTCACTCAAGTAACGGATCTGAATACGTCCTCCACCACTGACTGAATAATTAGCTCTGTGCTACATCCCAGTTGGCTGCTGCTAAGAGCCGCAGCTCAGTCCTGAATCACAAATCACCTCCCCTGACAGACTCTAATTACTGCCAGCCAGTAGTTGGCATATTTTGCCCACACAGTGTTGTGGCCTCGTCTTTGTGCCGCACTCTGCGAAGAAAAAACTCTTTGTGCTCAAATCATCAAGACGTCACACGGCAGGAAGATTTCTGCTCTCATACTGTGTCGTAAACTGAAAGCTCTGCCACGCTCGCCAACTCACCTGACAGCTGCGCCCTTACAAATGTTCTGGGGACATGCTGAAGTCTCCATGAGTAATAATCATTAGCACTGAAGATCGGCTGGATACTTAACAGTCAGTTTACTCAACGACTGCGTCACTTGGTGAAGAAGCAGGGGGTTTACATGCAGTACTTTATTAACTACTGCCCAGTTCACAACATCAAAATCAGTCCACCACATGTGCCTGTGGCTGCCCGGCTCCTCCAGCACATGTCTCCCAGTCCATTCAGTTTTATACCAAGAACGCAGGCAGTGTCCTTCTCCTTGGTCTGGGCTGCAGTGTTCTGAGGGCCAGCACACTACTGCATGAAAAGGGAGAGATGTAATCAGAACAAACCTGCAGCAGGTGTGTCAATCAACTCACCTGGTACTACTCTCATGAGCCATCTCCCCCACACCTCTCCCCTGCAGCTCACTACTAACCACACCCACCTACACAATCATCTTGACAAGGTACATGTCAGCATCTTGAGTGTTGCCCTCCTGGTCATGGATGTACTACTGAACAGGCCTGCCTGGCACAGACCCAGGGACCCAAAGTGTCAGAACCCCGTGGCCATCACCTGCAAAAGGTCACTCATATTAAGAAGTACCAACCAGGAAAAGACTCCAAATGACCACAAAGAGACAATGGAACTGCAAAGAGACACACAATAACTACAAAAAGGGGCACAAAATGGATTATTTCAAAGGGTAACCAGTGACAGATGATTTGGATAGTTTTATGTCTGGAAAAGATTTGGGATTAAATGGTTAAGTTCCTGTGACCGATATGTCAGTACCCAAAAATATTTGCCTAGCTAAGACATTAATAGTCAGCTTCCCTGTGATATGTCAAAGCTGCAGGAATTATCGCAGTTTTAGCTGAGCAAATCTGACTCATATGTGGTCCCCCGAGGCGTGACATATTCAGCAATTAATATTGTGTGCGCTGTCAGTGAGCGGCAGCACAATGCGAGGAAACAAGCTGCACATGACACACTGACGCACTTTCAGCCAGGTGGCTGTGTAACCCTGAGTCAGAGCCACGGCGGTGCTGTCCAGCTGTAACGGTGACAGAGAGGAAGCTGCTGCTTTCTATCAAAACAAAAGTGTGGATAAAGACGAGGGATGGGGCTTACAGATAGGGAAAAATATCAAACGAATGGCTTTTTATCACACTGGAGGGATTCGGATTTTGTTTTGTGACTCTGCAGGAGTGCAGGAAAACACATTTCATCTGATGTAGCCCTTCAGTTTAAAAGGCTGCATCAAAACAAGCTGTAAACTGTTGCATTGTCTACAAAGCTGGATTATCATTAAAGCAAAGTGGTGAACTCAAAGAGCCATGAAAGCTCGCAGTTTACTTATTACCTCATGCTGAGGCCATTATTGAAGAAGGTCAAAATCTGTTTTCACAATCTTCATTATTTCAGTTTTTTATTCAGTATGCACAGAATCTAGTGTGAAACAGTGGAAGAGAAACACCTCTTTCATCAGTTGTTATCCAGGATCATAGGAAAGATTATCATGTCTTTCTTGTCCTTCAAAGATAATTTAGCCTTTTAATAGCTGGGTCTTTATAGTTTTGTCCATCACTCCACTGGGTCATCCTAACAATTTACCCACTTTACACATCAGATCTGAGGAAGCAACTGTCCACAGCACAGCTTTACAGCAGAATACGCATCATGAGCTATTAGATATTGGAGAGATTTTAGTTTGCATTTGCGTCCAACTATCAGCAAATACAGTGGGGCCAAGGTGAACCAGGAAACAGCTGTTTACATTTGCAACAGCAGGATCATGTAATGATTCAGCCTTCACCTCTGACTTTCCTTGTAAAAAAAAAAGTGGTTTAGTTAATATAGTTAATCTGGAGACTTGTTTATGACCTTGCTCCACACTTCCTCAGAAGCAACGCTGGACTCACCACATCCTTGTATCCTGTAATCTGGTGAGAAAATGTGTTCTTAGGAATGACGGCTGCTACAAACCAAATCTCCAACAACAGGCGCGTCCTCAACTGAAGAGCCCAAACTGTCGTAAGGATCACTGGCACCCCTTTCAGATGTGTTTATCAGTACAGCCATGTGCTCCACTGATAAAAGGTGACGCCAACCAAGAAAAGACAGCGTTTCAGTGTCTCCCGAACCTCCTGTTTCCTCCCAACTGGGCCCTTTGAACGGATAGACACAAGTGACCCCTGCGACTGCCCTTTTGTCGTAAACACTTGAATCTCTGTCTCTTTCCTTTCAGGCTCATTAAAAAAACATCATTACATATTGACAGAAGGCGTTCTTGTCAGAGCTTTGGATATTTTCAAAAACATGCTATTGTTGAATTTTAAAGGGAACGTTCATCAAACAGACTAAAGGCTGAAGCTTATTTGGAATTCACCTTTTACATTTTTGACCTTCTTAGGAATGTGCTCACAAACTATCCATTAACCTTTAGCATGAATGCGCCTATACTTTCTCCGTGTGTACACTAGAGCAAATCCAAACTGTGGGTTAGCATGTTGTGTGGGACACAGTCAGTGGTCTGAGGTTGTTGGTTCTTGAACAGGAAGGGGTAAAGGATTAATCACTGTTACAGATGACAGCTGCAGTTTAAGAGAAAGCCAGGCTTTGGGCTTTCCTGCACACACTAAAGGTGACTTATCTGTGGATGTCCTCAACTCGCTTGACAACAACAGCTCATTATCTCAACTCAAGGGTCACTTTTTTTGCTTTTGTCTGTATCATATGGCCTTCATCAGCAGATGGAGTTTGCCTCATTGAAACTGTAGATGCTCAAACTCTCCATTATACTGAGCACCTTTAGGACTTCTGTCTTGGCTTAAAGTCCTATAGTGTCTAGCAGAAGCTGCCCCATTTGGTTAGCTTTTTGCCACCCGATAAAGGCCCACCTAAAATAATCTATATCAGTTTAAATGTACGTTATATTTAGTATATTTTCAGGGCTAACAGGCAACCCTTTCCAGTGGGAAGCCATTATCTCAAAGCCACCAGACTCCGTTGACAAAAACATTTTAGAACTGATGGTTTGCCATTGCCTTGATGAATTAGTGTGGAAGGTAAAGCAGCAAAGGTATTCCAGTACATAAAATAAGCAAGGAGAAATATCAGATAGGTCAGACCACCATGTTTAACTATATATATTTCAACGTAAGCTGCTGAAAACAATAATGAAAATAAACAAGTTTGCCAATTTCACATATCTCCACAATTTAAAACAATTGCCAGTTTTCTACCCCGAAGTGTTAGCGTGACATCACGGTGATGCGGCCT